AAAAAAAAAAAAAAAAAAAAAAAGGGGAACATACATGGATCAGTCAATCAACACAAAATCATCGTCGTCCAGAACTCGAACCTCCTTGTCCCCGATGAAATTCTCCCTCCCGAGCACCTCGACAATCTTCACAAACTTCACCCTCTTGTCCAGATCGCGCGGATAGTACTGGAAAACCGGCCTCACGACCCCAAGCTGGGCCATGGCCGTGTTCAGCCCTATCGAGTCCGAGTGCGACTCCTCAAACAGCCACTTCACCAAAGGAAAAATCCTCGCATTCAACTCCGGATTCCTCCTCCCAAACATCATCTCCCTCATCAACCCCGGAATCAAATTGCTCACGACCGAGATTACCCCTCTGCCCCCATGATCCCACCTCGAGTCGTGGCACTCGTTGTCTTTCCCACTCCACACCACAAGCCCGCTAGCCACGTGCTCCTCGACCCGTGCATGTCCAAAACACTCCATCACACCCGCAAGGTTCGGGCTTTGGGCCAATGCCCGAATGACGCTTAAGGAAATATCCGGACCCTTGCGGGAGCGGACATTTTGTACAATGGTGGGGCCCATGTGGAGGACACTCTCGAGATGGAGTGTCATGTCGTCGAGGGACGTTTTGCGGTAGTAGGGGTTGATGTGAAGGGCGGCGTGCATGCCGACGGCGAAGCCTTGTTCGGTGGCGTGGATGGCATCAATGGAGTAGCTGCTGCCGGTGTTACCTACGACCTTAATACAACCACCAAAGCAGTTGACCGTGTGGGCGATGAGCACGATGTGCTCTTCCAGCGACATGAGATGCCTCTCATCTGTGGTCCCGCCAACGATCACCCCTTCGGCCCCGCCCTCGATCTGCATGATGACGAGCGCGTCGTATGCCTCAAAGTCGAAGCGGCCATCGGGAAGGTATGGAGTTTTGATGGCAGTAATCAGCCGCATATCCTTTATCTCGTCCACGTTTGTCCTGGCCATGAAAATATGAAAATTAGTTTTATCACCTCTCGTTTTACCATGGTTTTGAAAATCGGACCGGACCGGCCGGTTCACCGAGGAACCAGCCTCCATTTCGGTCCGGTTTGCAGCATAAAACCGGCATGCAATCGAATCGCTCAAAAACCGTTCGAACCGGTCCAAAACCGATCGAACTCGTGAAATGGGACCGGTTTGAATGGTTCACCGGTTCTAGTCTTGAACTTGTGAAGTGTATTTTCAAGTCATTTAAATAGCACACATTTTTTTATTTATGTCTCCAATGTGGGATATGTTCACAAATAAAGCCTTTATTGAATTTATTGGGCCAACATTGGGTCTTACTAGAAAAAATGTATTCATTAAAAGAATATTGTACAATTTTTTGCATTGGGCTATCGATTAAGCTATATCTAAATTGAAGAAGAACGAAGATTTTACTGTTATCTGTTATGCACATTTTTTTTAATAGTAATAAAAAACTTAAAATCTAATTTAAATATTAAAACAGAGTTGTTTCTATTCTCTATATTTTGTAACTTAAATATAGATTAAAATTTTAAATTTAAAAAAAAAAAATGTTATCAATATTATTCAACACTATCGGTTGTATCTATTTATAAAACTCTTATTTAGAGAACGAATCGTAGGCTTCAGTGGTTCGATGACCAACCATGCGTTTTACACATAACAAGACATCTTCACTAAATTGCCTTATCGAAGTTCTCCATCACCCAGGAAAATCCTGTGAGTTAGAGTTAACTTAATAACATAACCCATGTCAAGTAATCCCCATTGAATATATGGAATAATAAATTTTTCATGTTAGCATGTCTAAAAATGTTGCGTATGTCTTACTAACATTCAAACATAGTGGAGGCAAGTAAAAAACCTAACACTTGTTGAAAGAGTTGCATAGAAGTGATTATGTACACTACATCTATCATCATGCCCCAA